ATTGGCAGTCCATGTCGATGCTGCCTGGCGAAATACTGCATACAATTAATGGATAGAGTGAGGATTGTCGGTGGGACTGACACATTTTTGCTCATTTGCAGACCTCCGTCATGACGATGGAGAGGATGGGGTTCATGATGCTGAACGCCGCCTCCGTCAGGAACTGCAGCACCACGATGGTGCCGAACTTGCACGAGAAGCCCCGCTTCCGCTGCGGCTTGCAGGGCGACGTGGCGGCAACAGTGGCGCCGTGGCTCTTCCCTGTGGGTGGACGAGATGCCCTTCGAGGTGCTGCATTTTGACTGAGGGTCGCCCTTCTAGTCTGAACCCCATCGGAAAAATATGATCCGATGCGTTGAAGTGCTAGAAGTGCATTGAAATCTGGAATATATTTCTTAGCTTTACAGAAAAAAGCGTGCCTTGTGAGGCTAGCAACGGCTCTGCAAGCAAGTACCGTACCTCACACAAAGATTATTTTTGGTCTTTCTCATTTGGCACTCAAATTACCGTTAAAAAGCTCTCATTTCCTTCGAAAATGCTTTCTTCCTGTTAATATTTAGCAGTTATATGCGTTTTGATTGGCTAAAATTACATTTCAATTTCAAAAAGATTGCCCCAGGTCTTGAAATGGTAATCTAACTGTTAACCGTTCTTTCTGTGAGGTACGGTAGTCGTCATCTACGTGTAGCACCGTTCTGCCAGCAACAGCCATGGCATCGTCACCTCCAATTTCATCCTCAGTTTCGGGCTCGGTCTTAAAGTGTGAGGGTGCTGGTTCCCCCCTTGGTGACAGTAAATGAGCTTCCTCGTCCACAGGCTTGCTCGATTTCTTGCCGGCGGGTAGCGACACGGCAATAACAACACCGACGAGATAAATGCACGAAGCGATCACAAACGGGAGCGCTGGCGACCAAACTGACTTTCGAGTCATAGCAGCGTACAAGACGGGGAAAACGACGGGTCCAATCGCTTCGAAAACCGATCGAGCTCCGTAGATCGCGCCTTGCAGGCGACCTTGCTCCTGTAGCAAACCTAGATAGTTATATAATGAATGACTTCACAAGGAGAAGTGCAGCGTACCTCTTCCGAACAGTTAATTGATTCCAGCGCAGAAATGGCTAGGAAGGCCAACTCGCCGAAACAAGAAGGTATACACAGAAAGAACACCACCCAACACTCCCGTCCCCGCAATCCCGCACGTCCTCACTAAGCAGCTCACTAAACCTGTGATGATCATGCCTCTTTCTCCCATGAAACTCACTAGAGTGAACCTGTTCAAGCTTGTCCGAGCATGACTAGAACGCCTCCAACCAGCATCAGATTGCCAAAATCATTCACGTCGTACCCCACAACAGTCTGCAGAGCAGTACAGAATCACTCAGTTGGATGACACAGAAAGTCGGACTATGCATACTGTTGAAAGGACTTACATTGAGGTAAAATGGCTGCATCTGGAAAATTCCTTCGGAAACGAAGCTCGTTAACGCGATCAGAGTATGAACAACTTGTTCCGGAAAAGGATCGAGAATGAGCGGATCGGACTCGCCGCAACCCATAAGGTTTCGGGCAGGATCAGCAGCGCCCAGAAAACGCGCATCGCGAACAGAGCAACAGCAATCTGCAAAATATGTTCCTGGTTCGTAAGATATAGCACGAATATCAGTTTATCAGGTATCGGAATGTTATGAAGCGAGTGGGAAGCACTCACTCGAGAGAAGAACGGGGCGATAAATGCGCTTGCGCAATACCCAATCGCTACGCTAGCGGCCAGAACTCCAAACGCTGCTGCACGATGAGTTGGAGAGATGACATCGGTGACCGCGGCGCGGCACTCATGACACCAGAAGTCCTAACACAGAGCATCATCATGTAACATAGAGCGACGACAAGCAGGTGCCGATTGGACCAGAGTAGAGGCCGCGGCGGAAGCGCAAGTGGCTCGACAGTCCCCCGAACTGCGAGTCGCCCGCAGCCAACGAGACGGACAGGATGCTCAAGCGCCACTAAGCACAAGTAGCATTCAGTATCTGACGAAGCGATTCAAGTCAGTGCACGCGAGGAAGACAGCCAGAAGACAAGATGTCGGAAAAAGTGTATATCCGCCGCTGAAGTGATGGTAGCAGTAGCTGTCGGTAGTGGTCGCCGATATGGCAGTATTGAAGACGTAATATGTTGATTTCTCGAATTACTCACGAGTTTCAAGCTTGTCTTAGCACCACAGTTTTCTCTCCTCCCATTTCGCACTCACCGCGTTTGTACGGCGCCATTAAATCTCTTCGGGATACGGAACAAGAATTGCAAACTGCCGAATCTCCTTGCCTTTCTTGGTGAAAGACTTGTAGTACAGCGGTGGAAGCAAAAAGAAGAGTTGGTTGCCATCCGGACCCAACTTCGCCAAATCATCTGCCGCGCCGGCCTTGATATCATGAGTCTTTCCCACAGTGACTTGGAATCCACCGAACTGCGGCATCCATGCATCAATAGCGACATAATTCGATGTCCGAGGCACGTAAAGCTGATTCGCAACTTGACCAGCTTCCACCCGCTCCACAATTTGAGAAGGTTTCGATGACGATGGGATTGTAATTTCTGTTTCAACAATATCTCGGCGGCCTCTTTTGCGTTGCCGCTGCATGGCGCCTGACAACAGTTCTCGATACTCAAAACTCCCACCCTCATGCAATAGTCGCAGACAGTGAGGCTCCAAGATGTATCCGCACAGCGATTGAGCCAGCGGGTTCCCGTTGCATGCGCTGAGAAAACTTTCCATGTTCGCGCGATTCGATATCAGCTTCGTCCGAGCAATCACTTTCATCGCCAATTCCGACGCATACACAACTTGGTACTCTGTATATGGTTCTTGGCTGCGGATGTGAATCAGGGTCCTCGATTTAATCTCCGAGTTGATGGACACCAACGTCTTGCACTCATCAAGAGAGCAACTATTGCATGCGGTCTCCAGCAACACTTGCGGGTCAGTTCCAATGTCTTGCAACACAAGACGAGGCACACCACCCAAGCAGTCTGAGCGATTTCGCCACACAGATGCTGCATGTGGATAGAGGGGAGCAGTTATCGCGAGTTCTTCCTTGGTCCACAGTGGCATGTAGAATACATCTGGAGTTGGAACGAGCTTCTTAAATTCTCCAATGCAGTCTCGCCGCGGTGTGCTTGCGAGAAGAATGGAGCATATGCGATAGGGAAGTCCAGCAATACTCGTTGGATCCAACGAATCCACAAGGCACCACAAATCACTCGACCAGAACTGTCGGTTGGACTTGTCGGGCAGTACCTTGCACGTGAGCATATTCGTTCCATCAAAGTAGAAATTCCCCTCGCTGTCGAAAAACAGCACGCGTTTCTTCTCCTTGATCAACCTCCACATCATGTAGTAGACGAACACCGACTTGCCTATCCCAGGCGTGCCCGTGACGACAGCATACTTGACCATGGTCCGATCTGGATTCAGCAGTGCTTGGTCGGCGATCACTCTGTACGACGAGCGAATGTAGAGCTTCTGACGTTTTGTTAACGGCAGCAACGACGAAAATTCGAGCCAATCGCCTACTTGCTCAACCGTGGGGAATTGTGCGAAGAACGGATCACTGCAGGGATCAAAGACACCATCTTGGGAGACAATTGAAGCCGAGATCGCTTGCTTTGGCTTTGGAACAACCACCAGCACGTGCACCACGTTCTTTCCAAGCGAAGCGCCAGTCCCAAACAGTTCCTCCAAATTCCGCGACGCGCGCAACTTCTCCATCTTCGAGGTGTCAACATTGTTCTGCAGCATCCTGTCCAGGTCATCGTCGTCTGGGAGCCATCCGCCGTCTGCCTTCTTCGCCAGGAAGAGCTGCAGGTCACCTGCATCGATGTCCTTCAACTTGTTTGGCTTCTTCGCCTTGATCGCGTCCTTCAAGTGGCCCACGGACTTTTTCTCGTCAATGTCCACAGGGAACGCGCTTCCCGCCGCACCAACGATCGCACAGAAGAGCGTCACCATCTTCCCTCGAGGCGGCGGATTCTGGAATGAAGAAGAAAGGGAGAGAACTCACAATCGTACCTAAGCGGAAATGACAATGTGATGACGGCGTGTCACTATGGCGAGGTGGGCATGATTCTTTCGAATGAAAACCCTTGTTGTTGTTGCTGCGTGCGGTGACTCCTCCTTCGCACCTGGTGCTACTTAGCGGTGGTGTAGCTGGTGGTCAGGAAGGTGCGGAGCAGTGCTCGTTGGTAAATACATAACGATCAGAAAAAAAGCTGAACGATTGATGTGCCCGACTCGACTACTTACGTTGACCTTGGGCCTTTTTGTTCGGCCGAACCACGCGTCCGACAGTTAACTGCCGCCGGTCTCCAGAGCATTAGACGCGCAATGCTCATCTCAGGAAGTATACGTCAAACTTGTCCTTAACCACTCAAAGTCTTGATTCATGCGATACACTCCACTGTAGCGGTCCTGCAGACACGAGCTCACACACTCCAGCTTCTTCTCCAACGCAGTGATCATATCTTGGGACACTTTTGCAGTGATTTCATCCTTTCTAGCGCTGTTCTCGACCAAAAACCTCTCAATTTCCTTCTTATGTCGCACCAGAGCCGACACGCTCGTTTCCATGTGATGCTCAGCCTGGTTGCGGATCGTCTCGGCATGGCGAATCCTTCCGTGCACATCGCGCTTTATCGCCTTAATCCGCATGTTATATGTAGTACATTTTCTTCTTGATCATAGTGGCCTCCGCTATGTGTTTGTTGCGCGCAGACAGCTCCACGGTATCCAGGAAACTCAAACGGGGAAGTTGACACATCAAATATGTCTGGTAATTACACAGTCTACACACGGGATTGTCGCCGAAATGAGGGTCACTCAATACAAGAACAGCAAGTTGGTCCAAGTTCATGAGGGACAACAGTCCTTTAAAGCTCGACAGCCGGTTGTCCGCCAAGTTCAGTTCCGTGAGATTCACGCAGCCATTGAGCGCCGTGTCAATGCGGTCAATACGGTTACGACACGCCCAGAGCTGCGTCAACTTCGTGAGTCTCCAGAGTCCGTCAAGCCTTTCCAATTGGTTCAGGTTCACCCACAACTTCTCCAACTTCACCAGCGCGTCCAAGTTTTCAAGTCGTCGGATCTTGTTCGAGCTCAGATTTAGCTGTTTCAGCTTGGTACAGTTCCCCAGGTTAGCGATCTTTGTGAGCCCACACTCGGTAATGCAC